TGCAAGGATGACCCTCCTAACTGGGCCAACTTTAACCCCATATAAACCTTTTGGCTTGCCCTGTCAGGTCAACTCGGTCAAGGCAAGACAATCATAGTATGTGCAAGCTCTCTTAGGTTGGGCCAAGGGTCAACATTTTTCTCATATTGTCACATAAATGCTTGCTTAAATTGAAGCTGGGACAAGTGTTCTCCATATAAACAAGGCCAAAGGGGCGCAAGAAATGAAACAGTGCCCTACATGGAAAATGTGCTATTTTTTCCTAAACAAACAAGGATGTTAATGTTTAAAAAGTAGATGCTTTGAGCCTGCATTTGGCACCATTAAATGAACTTAAATATTCCTTTTTCTCCGAAGTGGGTACAATTTTATGGCCTTGGTTTTCTCACAGTGAGATCTGATGTAACCAATTTTATTACAAGTGGTAACAAACAGAATAATATTTGGGTAAAAGCAACCATAAATGATTTTATTAGCTTTATGAAAGGAAACTTTAGCTATATAATATTCATGACTAATATTATATGTCTCAAAGAGACAGTGGGGTTGGTGCATTAATTTCTTTAATTTTTTTTTAATGTTTTGGCCCCAAATTAAAATCTGAATAATTAGAATACATTGTAGTAATACTGTTCCTTTCGTTTTGTTTTTCTTTTTTCCCTTTCCTTTCCTTGTTTATCATTATCTGTTAGGTTTGTTGGATTACTTTCAGTACTGTTGAAACCTTGAACTTGAATGGGTAAACAAGGCAAACAGAAAACAGCTAAAAGGTTATTACCAAGATACCTAGCTTGGTGATAACCTGGACTTCCGAGAACTTGGTCCTTTGTTTCTGAAAAAACATGATTTTGTGCTGTTGGGGGAGTGAAAACTTTCAAAGATTTTGTACATAATTTCTTTTTTTATGAAGGTAATATTATTTGGGTGGCTTTTGCTTTTCCATTTAGCAAAGGTTACTATGAGATCACTTTGTGGCTTTGTTTAATGTCTAAGTGTTTCCCATAATTATTATTGTTGTCTTAAATTAACAATATACAGTGTATCAGGTTGTTTGGAGTCAGTTCTTCTGTTATGGGAGAGTTATTTTGTATAGTAAACAATACAGAACTAATATCAGTACCACAAGCTCTATTTTGTGTCCGACACAAGTGATCAGTAAATGTATTTAAACGTAACCAACTTTTTTTAAAAAAAATTCTGGATTGAACCATTTCCTTTACATCCATATATGAGCACATTAGGGGCTGGTTTTGCATTTCTAAATTTTCATCAGATAGGCTAATAATGAATATTTTTTTGCAAATCCCTGTCAATAGTTTTATAACAGAAACCTCAGTTTTTCTGTAACAAAAAATGATATCATTCCTCAAACTTATTCATGAGTGATGGAGCTGTTTGTTTTTTTGCTTTATACTCATTACAGTCTTCAAGAAGGTTCACTGAAACTGTTAATAATATTATATTAAGGGACTATTATTGTCACTTAAGCTGTTTTATACATGCTGGAAATTAAAGGTGGCTTGTAAAAATAGATGAAATGTTCTACTCAAAATTTGCACATACAAGTACCATTATTTTCACCGCTATGATGACCTGTTTTTAATCAACACCGCTTGAAAATAGATTTTTGTCAATCAAACAATTTATACTTGAAAGGTAGTGTATTTCCAAGTGATGCTGATTTCAAATGTTGCTGAGCAGTGAAAGTAATGGTTAAGTCTGTCATTGATATTGTTTAAGTGTATCCATGAGGCCCCTTCCCCAGATTGAATGGAGAAACAAATTTAAAATTAATGTTACAGTGCTCTTTTGGGGGTGAAGAGGAACTTGTTGTACCATTTGCTAATGTTAATTTTGTTTTAACTTTCTGTTGTCTGGACATCTTGTTACCATATAACAGAATTAATAAGAATGACAAATAGACAAAGCTCAGCCTATTCAAGACTTTAAGTACTGTGACCTAAATATTTGCATAGTATTTCAGATTCCTCTGAGATCTTTAAAACAACATTGGAAGTTTGCAGATTTTTAGTTTGAATGGTAGCCTGCGTAGCAGATGCTAGGAAATAAATGGGCCCATCCTAGCACCTGCTACACAGGCTATTTGAAATGTAGTGATTTAAATGAAGTATGTAGTTTTAGAGGATCACACCTAATCAGTTTTGTCAAATAATCAAAGCCCTCACCACAAAAAATGGTTTTTGCAACACCGAGACATGTTCAGTTTTGATGACAGCACTATTTTTTTATTACAGTGAAATTTTTTAATACATGTAATTTTGGGCACCAATAATTGCATATCTTTCCCAGAAATAGCTTGAAACCAATGTAAGGAGCAAAAATAGTTAGTGAAAACTCTTGGAGGGCTAGTTTACAGAAGTTTCATTACAATGTTTTTCAAATTATTGCATTAAGTAGCATAGGAAAGAATGTTTTCAGGGAAATAGACATAAAATATCTGAATTCTTGGTGAGGACACTTTTTCCACCAGGTTATAAATAATTATGTGAACATGTTTCAATGTTTACCCGTATAAGTGTCGCTGTCATTACGTCAAAGACAATAACTGCATTATTTTGTCAACTACTTTTGTCAGTGGGTGATAATATAGAAATTCCTAGCTTAAGTTTCTTTTACTATTGTTAAGAATAATTGATTATATTTCTAACAAGTAATATTTTTGTTTACTGCATTGCAAATTTACTAATTTATACATGATTTAGTAATTTGAGGCTTTATGATAGAGAAATGACTGATTGGAGTGTTGGTAGGCAAATATCTTGGCTGTGCTCAATGCTGGTGTTTTTCTCTATGCTACTACGTTCTACTATAAAGCTTTTAGCATTATTAAGATTTAATTGTAGCAATATTAGTTGGTTCTATTATGAAGTACTAAAATGCACAAGCTATTGATTCTAGGACCACAATGATATTTCAATAAATTGTTGGTCTGCATATAATTATTTACCTACTACTGCTCTACTATTTGGAGAAAATTTTACTTTCAGAAAATTTTTGTCAGTGTTGGCATGTTTATGTTTAACATGCATTCATTGTTGTGATAGGTCGCAATTGCTCTGGCTAGGTCACCGGTCTACATGAACAATTATTGATTAGATCACATAACAATTAAAAATTGGCTAAAAAAGTCACTTCAAAGTAATCATAAGAAGTTGAACTGTTTGTAAAACTGCTACAAAGAAGTCAATGCTACAAACTCATTGGCAACAGCTACAAGACAAAGTTTGTCTGTTCTCTGTTTCTGAGTGTTCAGCATTGTCAGATTACTAAACCTTGTTTGTGGGGTAAGTGACAGCCCGAACCCCTTCGCAGTCCCTGATAATGGCCTTTAAGGGGAGGCAACCCCGTCCCGAGGGGTTTTCCCTAAAAAAATGGGTCTTTTTAGGGAAAAGCCCTGGGGTCCACGTTGACGGGGAGTTTCAGCTTGAAAGGGGGTGTCTTTTTCAAGCTCCAGATGTATGAAAGGGTAGGATTTCACTGGTTGAGATATCTGAAAGGCCGGTATAGAAATCTGTTATTCTGGTCCGTAAAAAGGCCCAGAAGGGCTAACAGATGCATTTTATGGCTTTGAAAAAGTCGAGAAAATGTTCTGGTTTTGTGCTTTATTCATATTTAGAGCAGTTAAAAGGGAAGAAAAGTTCTAAAGGGGTACCATTTAGGCGCGTAGGAGGGGTGGTTCAAGGGGTTCGAACGAACCCCCTTTGCAGGTTAATGATGAAGGACTAAAAACACTCAAAGTTTGTTTTCCATACATAGTGATACATACCGGCTAAGTGCAAGGTATCTCGGAGCAAAAGCTTAAATCCCCAGTTCACCGGCTCCGCTGTCTTTGTACTGAAAGCAGCGTCAAACGTCAATTAGTATTAAACACGTATCACCTAAGTCCCCCCAAAATCGTATTCCCCGCCTTTCGTCTTTCGAGAGTCCATTTGTCAAATACGGAACGCCTGTTAAGAAAATATCTTCAATGGTTTATTTTGACTACATATAATACTAGGTCACTACAGGATACACTGGGGCCACAACATGGGCTACTTAATTATCAACTCACAACAGGACTATTCGTAAAGCAAACTTTGCAATTGCATCATCCTCGGGTGGAGGCCTTCAAATAAATTGACAACTTCGTCCAGATCGAGAGGCATATCGTACTTGATATGCATAATAGCCAGTGAGGGTCAGTAAGCTACTCGGGTTGGTGCCATCTGTAATTCAGGAAAGCCAAATCAATGCTCAGCAGCTAACTGACTTAGTAGATCTGTACAAAGATGATCTACCTTCGCCGCAGCTCTTCTTTGCCGAATTTGAACGTTGGAAGATGAAGGTGCAAGCTAGGATAATTACGGCTGATTCATGCGCTGCGTCCTTAAAGCATGTGATCCTGATGATTTCCCTAACCTGTACATTCTTCTCGAGATTGCGACTACTCTTCCGTGACATCGTGCGAGTGCGAGCGTTCAATCAGCACAATGAGAAGGCAGCTGAGAAGGCTAAACAATTACGTGAGATGTACCATTCTCTATTTTCCAATTGCCCATAATACACTCTGTTTGCCCCCCAAATTCTGCATAAACCATTGTTTTTAAATGCTCCTGGGAGTATTGCATTTTCCCAAGAACATTTTAAGACAATAAGTTATGCAAAATTTGGGGGGCAAACAGAGTGTATTTCGGGCAATTGGAAAATAGTCAATGGGCGAGACTAGGCTTTCCTCACTGGCTATCATGCATATCAAGTACGGACAGAGCGGAGCCGGGGAACTCGGGGACTTTAAAAGCTTTTGCTTCGAGATACCTTGCAGCACACTTCGAGTTTTGTAAAACGTTTCGTGTACTTAGCCGGTATGTATCACTATGTATGAATGTTCCAAGTCAAGCGGAAGTATTGTTGTTATGACTAAAAACACCTGTCATTTCGACTTGATCGAGTTGGAAATATTCACGTGGAGACTACTGAAAATAGCATTTCCAGTATTCTAGGGGCGCGATCCATTCAACCAAAATTCAGACCGGTCCGACCGGGAAAAGAGGACCACCTCAAAAGGTGGACCAGTTTTTTCGAAACTTTTCCGGTTGGACCGAACCGATCCATTGAGTTTTGGACCGAAATTTCCGGAAATTTTGGTTGAATGGATCGCGCCCTAGATGTCAAAATTTTCTGGGGGAGCAATTGCCCCAAGAAACCCTCAGAAACTCGCGCCTTTGGCGCTCGCAGGATTTCCCGCCGTTAAGAAATATTCGTACCGGTACGAACACCCCTTCTCAAACCCCAGCTATGCCCCTGCCATTTCTCGGTTAAAGGTACACGAAAGGGGCATCTTTTCAGTCAAAATAGTGTGTAAAAGGTATGCATAAAACTTTGTATAGTACCACCATCCCCCCGGCAGTGGAACAACATATAAAAAGATGCATGTGAGGCAGCAAAGGCTTTGCCCGGGGGTGGGGGGGGGGCAATACTTCCTTAAATAAGCCATATAGGTATGTGCCGCCCCCAAGGGTAGGGTTTTTGCGCCTTTTTGGCCTGAAAAGTAATAATGACATAATATCTTAGAGACCAGGTCTGAAATTGGGTATGGATTTTAGAGGTCAGGTCTGAAAATAGGCGTGAAAAATGACCTTTTTTGGTCTGAAATAGGGTTAGGATTTGGAGAACCAGGCGGCACACCCCAACAATAGGTGTCCTGTGGTTTATCCAGAACGAAATTCCCGCGCAAAAGAAAGAAGAGAGAGAGAGAGAGAGAGAGAGAGAGAAGCAGCAGCTTGCAAACCTTATATGAACCCGTAGATCAAATTCCTTAAAGATGAGCATTTTAAACGACTTATTTGAACAAATAATACAGTCTGAGGAGAGAATACGCGAACGTTTCACAAAACTACGTGAAGGTTTGTTTTTTTAGGCCGCACGCACTAAAAAGTTTTAATTTTTAATTCATGGCGTAAACAAACCTACCCTGCTAGCAGAGTCGGTTCGATCTTTCCTAGATAAGTCGACTTATCTAGGAAGATCGAAGGAGACTCAGTTCGCAGGGTAAAACAAACCTTGAACCGGTTCTACCAAACTTGTATTTCCACTGATGAAGGGCAAGGCCCCGAAACGTCTGGAAGACAGCCCCACATAAGATCAAAACACTTTTGTTCATACTTTACTTTTTTTGACGAGATAAGCTTAATAGCTCAAAAACTCTAATTTATTGAGCTAGATCAACATGCAAAAACATGCAAAACTGCAGTGCTTTTACGATTATGACTTTCTTTTGTTTCTGTTACAGTAAACAACGAAATTCAGGTGTACCAAGCGAAATATCAAGACTTTACGGATGAATTGAAATCACTGCAAGGACTATTAGTTCTTAAAAGCCAGCGTTTGGCTGAAGAAGAAATAAATCTTAAGTGGTTTAAAATTAGCGAAACCGTTTTAACACAAAAGAAAAAAGAGCTGTTAGAAAGGGAGGATATTCTTATCCAGCAAAAGGTAAGTTTAAGTTTACGCTGAAGCAGTGGCATGGCTTTTAAATGAGTTAAGTTACAGTGCAAAAGTGCCGCTAGTTAGTTACTTTTGCCTCTAGTAGTTTTTCTCCTTAAAAAATATAACAAGGACACTAAACGAATCCGTTCGGAGGAGACATAAAAATTCGTAAATGTTACAGACTAATGGGCTGGCCTTTCCGCTGGGGAGTAGGCGAGGTAGGCGAGAGGATTGAGAAGTAGGAGAAAAATCCCTCTCCGTTCCTTTTGTGGTCTTTTTTCCCACCAGCAGTCTTTTCGCAGGCTATCTTGGTCTTATCTGACATGTTTGAAACTTATTACCCACTAAGGGACAAAAACAATAAAATAAGTCTCTCATTAACTTAGTTTTGCTATTAAATCAAATTGCACAGAAAAAAAAATCATGTTTACCAAAACTATTTTGAATTCTCCCTTAAAGCGTTGTTACGGTGACCTGTTAATGTCAGATGAAATGGGCATACTTATTCAAAATTCTACGTGTTCTAGAAATAGCCTGTGCCACAGACAACGCCTGTCCTTTGTCTGTAATTTGATAAATGTAGGACTTTATTCACCATATTTGTGCTGGTACACCTCTACCTCTGGAGGACATTGAATAGTACTCATTGCCAGAGTTATTTTAAAATAATTTAGATGTCATTCTTTCTATAAAATTTCAAAGTCAAACTCTTTTCTTTTTTCTGTAGGAAGAAATGGAAGATGCAACTGACTGTGATAAGTACGTACTGACATCAATGTTACACTACATATTTGTTTCATGAACAATTTATGACAATATTAAGAGGTTCCAGTATTCCATAAAAAAAACCCTTAAAATGTTTTAGGGGCAGTGTCCAATAAAAATCATTTCAAGACTGTTTTAATATCAAACATTGTCAACTAACATCCAACTGAACTGTAGCCTTCAATTATTTTTGCAGAGAAGAATTTTCCAGAGAAGTTGTTAAATTCATGGCTCTCTTTGATTTTTGTGGAAAAGGAAAAGAGAAAAGAATGACAGAAACCAATGAAGTGATGGGGGAACTCAAAAGTGACGAACAGAGAATAAAACAAGGTAAATATTAGAATGTGTACCTAAACCTTGTTAAACTCAACTGTAATCAATTTCTCCTAGTAATTTATTAAATAATTCAAACTTCTCTTCATGAAATAATTTAACCTCTAAAATTTAAGTAATGGTTTGAGTTTATCTTTAGAATTTGCTTATAAATAACAAATTACTGTTATCATTATTGTGCAAGTTTTAAAGAGGAAATAAACTGCTCTTATACTTTTTAAACTCTATACTTAAACATATAGTTCTAAATAACTTTGTAGTAAAATGTCACAAAAACCAAGTAAAAAATAAACAAAAATTAGGATGATAAAAACAAGACATTTGTATAAGTGAAAAGGCCTCCACCAGTACTTAATGGAAATGGAATCAGGACCACTCCTGAAACATAGCCTGTGTACAGACCTCCCCCCTCCCTCAGGAAAAATCGAGAAAGGAGATGTCTGTGAATCGCCGTCGTTAATCGTGTGGTCCTGTATACATTTGCATAAATTATTTTTTTGTTTTTTTACCGACAGTTGAAAAGGTACGTGTGGGTCGAAAAATAGCTCTCGCATCTGTGCACAGGCTAGCCGAACATCTTCACGCAATGTCCACCCAAAAATCCAGATTTAAGATCTCTGATTACAGTCAAGCCAGGTCAAGCGTACCTCCCAAGATCCCATTAATGTATTTATTATTCGAAAGTTGAACCATTGGTAGTTGTAGATTTCAGATTCATGCATCTCTGTGTGCATTCTTGCATGTGTAATGCGCCGTGAATTCGCACGCGATTCAGTTACGAAATTTCTACCAGCTCAGTTTCCCTGAATTTGATGTAAATGTCTTCTAAGACATTTAATCCATTCAAAGATTTTCAATCTGACCAAATGCAGAGAAGTTCTCTTAAAATATTCACTGCTCATTACGCATACAGGAATACCAATTTAAATTTGACACCAGTTATGGGAACTACTAACGGATTCATTTATACAAATAATCAGTTCATTAATAGAATCTTTTTGGGGTAAGCTTGACCTGCCTTGGCTGTTAACGTTGGATTTTGTATGCCTTCTCTTTTATTTACAATACCTAGCAGCAAACATCGGTGGTAACTTCTCATGCCTTTTTGAGAGAGCCGAAATACAAATACCGGTAAACAAATATGAATGTCCACAAAGGCTGAGCTTTTCCCCGGGAAATCTATTCTGAGGTTCCTTCACCAATCACAACACCGGAAATTATATGTGTCATGGCATTAACATTACAACCAATCAGAGGCTGTCCCCAACATTCCGGGGAAACCGGAACAAGATTTTCGTCGGCAATTCACAGACGTTTCCTCTCCCGTTTTTTCCCGAGGGAGGGGGGACGTCTGTACACAGGCTACTGAAACACACTTTACATAGTACAATGTTGACTTAACAACAAGTTTTGATCTAAACATGTACCTAAAACGTCCCTGGGTGTTACGAGTGGTTATACAACAATTGCTTTGTCGAGCAAGCATGGAATTGTGGCTTTCTGTATTATTTACAAAACATCATTTGCCCTAATGCCAAGCTTCTTTATGATCACCTCAAGTTTCAAATCACCCTCCTGGCACACAAATGATGATATGATACCACCTAATTTCCTGGTATGGGCATAGTATAATAATAATAATAATAATAGTAATAATAATAATAATTATTATTATTATTATTGCGGGCAGCAAGAGGAGGCCGCAATCCTAATCTCCAGGTTGTTATTATGAATGCGTCGCATGTGTGTAGCCAGCTCCTGCAGCATTCGTTTGGACTTGCACTAAGAATGAATGGAATACACAGAATGCAGTTTGATCATGCAAGTTTGGACCTTCCATCACTCGTAATCTGATCATGTGCGTTTTGACTATCTGTCACATGAAACTTACACAAAGCACTGTGATCACTGTCGCTCGCACTCCATAACCTTCAGTTATTACTTGTTATTATTATTGCCACTACAATCATCATCACTTTTATTGTTATAATGCACGAGAAAAAATTCTTAAAGTTTTGCTGGTCAACTGGAAACTTCCTTTAAAGGGGCTGTGTACAAACCAAAGACCAAAGACAAGACTGCACAAAACCAAACACCCAACTGATGTGAAACTAAAAGGGGTTGACTAACTCATAACACACCTCCTCAGGCCAACAGCCACCTTAAATGTCTTAGTTCCTTAAATAAGAGTGTTTTGGTTTAAGTATTCAGGAAAATAAGAAGTCTACTCATTAACAAGTCAGTTTTCAGAGGATGTGTTCAGAGTATCCTAAATCTTTGCCTCCTCCTGTAATATAGAAATGGCAAGATTGGAGCAAACTCAAGAACAAAAGAAGAATTTGCTAAAGGAAAAAAATGATTTATTAGTCATTAAAAGTCAGTTGCAGAGCAAACTCACGGGTATATAAATAAATATGTTTAATAAAAGCTTGGTGGATTTTCATGTTCATTTAATTCCGTACAACTGTCACTCATTTAATGCACTTTTCAGATAGTGGACTGCACTTCATTTTTTTTACTAGTGTAGATATCAAAAGCACCAACTTACGGAAAGGTTTGGGTTGCCAAAAAAAAGAAAAATGTATGACTGTCCACCCAAGTGTGACCTTGTTGCACTCTCTCATTCTCAGTGGAGTGGAATGAGAGAAAAGTTGAATTCACTGTCCCTTAAGCCCTAAAGGGCGGGGTTGCCCCCAGCTAAACTGACATTAAAAAGCCTAGTTGTGACTGACCATCTACCCTTGTTAATGAAGTTATTTGTTTTGGTTCCCTTTTAATAAGACCTCCATATCTCATAGCCATTCAGCATTTCAGTCAAAACAAAGAATTGCCAGCTTTATTATTGGATTCTTGGTTAAGAACACAACCACTTGTTGCCTGCCATCTCAATTACATATGCAAATTATTGCTTTCAAAAAAGGTAAAGAATTCTTGGCTATAGATGGAAAGAAGACTTCTAACTGTCTTCTAACTGAGAGCAATGTATTGAGTGTTCTAGTGTTTGGTATGTCATTTCACTGCTTTGTGACTGTTGGATGACCTGTTTTGGGTTTTGTTCACCTGGTGGACTTACAGTCTGGAACTCTCTTGGTGTACCAATTCTTTTGTTCTCTTTGACATAATCCTTATAAATATCATTGAGACAAATTTCTTTCTATGAAGATCAGTTAGTTGCTTCCTTGAGCAAGAACCATAAACCCAAGGGTAAAATGGCCAGTGTAACTTGTACAAGTTACTTTTCATTTGCTATTCCCCAATCAGTTCTGACTACTCAGCTACTAAATGCAGTCAACCAGACGCAACTTCTACAGGCTGAGAAGCAAAGGGCAGCTCTGAAACCTCAGAATGATGCTGAATTCAGGAGGTCAGTAAATGTACCACTACATAATCATCCAGGGAGCTACCTTCTCTGATCTCTTGTGTTTGAGAAAAATGCTAAATTGCCTTTCCTTATTGGTACTGGTACCAATTTTCATAGGAACTGATAATTTGATGTTCAATTTCTTGCTTAGCTAGTTAAATAAAAACAGGTCTGGGCGCAGTTGCTCAAAGACCAATTAGCGCTTAACCCAGGGTTAAATTCAACTGGGGTTTCGTCTTTTTTTGTTCAAAAGCATCTCCTTGGATAATTTTCTCTGTTATCTTTAAGAGCATCCAATCATCACCTTGTTGACAAAAAGTATTAAAGTGAATTCACTTTCTTAGCTTTCATATCTGAATTCAAATTTCGCACTTACCCTGGGTCACCTTTAACACAGCTTTGAACAACCAGGCCCTGTTAACTGGGTGTTACGAAAACTAAGACCCTCGAATACTAAGACCCGTCTTAGTTTTCGAGATTACGAAGACTAAGACCCCCTAAAATCCAATCTGTCAAAATATGAAGTCAAATTGTAATCGAAATAGGTCTAATCTGTCAAATTATCTTCTGTCAGATTCTTTCCACAGAGTTTTAGGTCAAATTTAACGGTAAATTTAGGGATCTTAGTTTTCATAATTTCGAAAACAAAGACCCTTCTTAGTTTTCGTCATTATGAAGACTAAGACCCCCCCCAAAAAACCAATCCGTAAAATATATATGACGTCGAATTACGACCGTTCAAAGACTATAATCAGTAAAACAACCAAAAACTATCATCCGTGTGCTGACAATCCGCTTCTTCTAGGATTATTTGGCAGAAAACAGAGGATGAACAGCCATTACCTGTGTATAATTGTACACTGAAAATGTACACTGTCTGCAAATTTCAGAAGAAGCGGATCATCAGCACGCGGATGATAGTTTTTGGTTGTCTTACGGCCTATAGTCTTTGAACGGTCGTAATTTGGCTTCATATATGTATATATATATATATATATATATTATGGATCGGTTTTTAAGGGGTCTTAGTTTTCATGATAACGAAAACTAAGAGAGGTCTTTGTTTTCGAAATTACGAAAACTAAGACCCTTAAATCTACCATTAAACTTCACCGAAAACTCGGTGGAAAGAGTCGGACAGAAGATAATTTGACAGATTAGACCTATTTCGATTACAATTTGACTTCATATTTCGCCGGATTCAATTTTAGGGGGTCTTAGTTTTCCTNCGTTCAAAGACTATAATCAGTAAAACAACCAAAAACTATCATCCGTGTGCTGACAATCCGCTTCTTCTAGGATTATTTGGCAGAAAACAGAGGATGAACAGCCATTACCTGTGTATAATTGTACACTGAAAGTATGCCTACCCCGCTGATTGGTCTCTAATTTTAGTTGTTTATCCCTAAAAATCGTAAAATTGGCTTTCCGCTGGAGATGAATTTTTGCCTTCATTGCCATCTGACATGTTGCTGCCGACCGCATTACCTGAATATATCAAAATCGCTTCCGGTCATCAAGTGGTCAATTACTCACACAAAAATGCTGTTTTTTTCTTCCTTTTCTGGCCAGGCCATAGCCAGAAAAATGCTTTCTTAGAAAGGGCGAATAAAAGAGTATATACTACATTGCGTTTTTTAACAGTTTATTTTTATGGTTCCCACCCAGGAGATCACCGGAAACAAGGTGAAAAGTTACAATGTAAGGGGTAGTTGAGGGGTGGTTGGGGGCAAGGAGAAATTGTCTGTGAGGGACACTGGCTAAAATCACTCATTTAATAAACAATGAATGAATGAATAAATTCCCTAACCTAGCAAGGCATCATCTACAAAATTTTGCATTTTAATTTCAGAAAAAATATAATAAACAAACAATCAAAACAAAACACCCCTTTGGTGATTTTTTAGGTAAAGCAATCACGGTCGCAGAGACGGTCCCACGGAGACACAAAGGCAAAAATCCATCTCCAGCACGTGGAAAGCCAATTTTACGATTTTTAAGGATAAACAACCAACATTATAGACCAATCGGTGTGGTAAGGCATGTTTTCAGTGTACAATTATGGCTTTTTGTCCTCTTCTTAAAGCCTCAATACTGATATGTCTGCAAATTTTAGAAGAAGCGGATCATCAGCACGCGGATGGTAGTTTCTGGTTGTCTTACGGCCTATAGTCTTTGAACGGTCATAATTTGGCTTCATATATATATATATATATATATATATATATATATTATGGATCGGTTTTTAAGGGGTCTTAGTTTTCGTGATAACGAAAACTAAGAGAGGTCTTTGTTTTCGAAATTACGAAAACTAAGAGCCCTAAATCTACCATTAAACTTCACCGAAAACTCAGTGGAAAGAGTCGGACAGAAGATAATTTGACAGATTAGACCTATTTCGATTACAATTTGACTTCATATTTCCCCGGATTCAATTTTAGGGGGTCTTAGTTTTCCTAATCTCGAAAACAAAGACGGGTCTTAGGTCTTAGATTTGAACGGTCTTAGTTTTCGTAACACCCCCTGTTAACTGTATAGGTAGTATATTAATCAGCACCACAGATCTCATTGTAATAAAGTCAGTGTAAATGAGCAGAGCTTTAACCAGAAAAAAAATTATGGCACAAAATAATTATACCAATTTATCAATTTATTATACATATCTCATGCCTTTTTGAGAGAGCCGAAATACAAATACCGGTAAACAAATATGAATGTCCACAAAGGCTGAGCTTTTCCCCGGGAAATCTATTCTGAGGTTCCTTCACCAATCACAACACCGGAAATTATATGTGTCATGGCATTAACATTACAACCAATCAGAGGCTGTCCCCAACATTCCGGGGAAACCGGAACAAGATTTTCGTCGGCAATTCACAGACGTTTCCTCTCCCGTTTTTTCCCGAGGGAGGGGGGACGTCTGTACACAGGCTACTGAAACACACTTTACATAGTACAATGTTGACTTAACAACAAGTTTTGATCTAAACATGTACCTAAAACGTCCCTGGGTGTTACGAGTGGTTATACAACAATTGCTTTGTCGAGCAAGCATGGAATTGTGGCTTTCTGTATTATTTACAAAACATCATTTGCCCTAATGCCAAGCTTCTTTATGATCACCTCAAGTTTCAAATCACCCTCCTGGCACACAAATGATGATATTATACCACCTAATTTCCTGGTATGGGCATAGTATAATAATAATAATAATAATAATAGTAATAATAATAATAATTATTATTATTATTATTGCGGGCAGCAAGAGGAGGCCGCAATCCTAATCTCCAGGTTGTTATTATGAATGCGTCGCATGTATGTAGCCAGCTCCTGCAGCATTCGTTTGGACTTGCACTAAGAATGAATGGAATACACAGAATGCAGTTTGATCATGCACGTTTGGACCTTCCATCACTCGTAATCTGATCATGTGCGTTTTGACTATCTGTCACATGAATCTTACACAAAGCACTGCGATCACTGTCGCTCGCACTCCATAACCTTCAGTTATTACTTGTTATTATTATTACCACTACAATCATCATCACTTTTATTGTTATAATGCACGAGAAAAAATTCTTAAAGTTTTGCTGGTCAACTGGAAACTTCCTTTAAAGGGGATGTGTACAAACCAAAGACCAAAGACAAGACTGCACAAAACCAAACACCCAACTGATGTGAAACTAAAAGGGGTTGACTAACTCATAACACACCTCCTCAGCCCAACAGCCACCTTAAATGTCTTAGTTCCTTAAATAAGAGTGTTTTGGTTTAAGTATTCAGCAAAATAAGAAGTCTACTCATTAACAAGTCAGTTTTCAGAGGATGTGTTCAGAGTATCCTAAATCTTTGCCTCCTCCTGTAATATAGAAATGGCAAGATTGGAGCAAACTCAAGAACAAAAGAAGAATTTGCTAAAGGAAAAAAATGATTTATTAGTCATTAAAAGTCAGTTGCAGAGCAAACTCACGGGTATATAAATAAATATGTTTAATAAAAGCTTGGTGGATTTTCATGTTCATTTAATTCCGTACAACTGTCACTCATTTAATGCACTTTTCAGATAGTGGACTGCACTTCCTTTTTTTTACTAGTGTAGATATCAAAAGCACCAACTTACGGAAAGGTTTGGGTTGCCAAAAAAAAGAAAAATGTATGACTGTCCACCCAAGTGTGACCTTGTTGCACTCTCTCATTCTCAGTGGAGTGGAATGAGAGAAAAGCTGAATTCACTGTCCCTTGAGCCCTAAAGGGCAGGGTTGCCCCCAGCTAAACTGACATTAAAAAGCCTAGTTGTGACTGACCATCTACCCTTGTTAATGAAGTTATTTGTTTTGGTTCCCTTTTAATAAGACCTCCATATCTCATAGCCATTCAGCATTTCAGTCAAAACAAAGAATTGCCAGCTTTATTATTGGATTCTTGGTTAAGAACACAACCACTTGTTGCCTGCCATCTCAATTACATATGCAAATTATTGCTTTCAAAAAAGGTAAAGAATTCTTGGCTATAGATGGAAAGAAGACTTCTAACTGTCTTCTAACTGAGAGCAATGTATTGAGTGTTCTAGTGTTTGGTATGTCATTTCACTGCTTTGTGACTGTTGGATGACCTGTTTTGGGTTTTGTTCACCTGGTGGACTTACAGTCTGGAACTCTCTTGGTGTACCAATTCTTTTGTTCTCTTTGACATAATCCTTATAAATATCATTGAGACAAATTTCTTTCTATGAAGATCGGTTAGTTGCTTCCTTGAGCAAGAACCATAAACCCAAGGGTAAAATGGCCAGTGTAACTTGTACAAGTTACTTTTCATTTGCTATTCCCCAATCAGTTCTGACTACTCAGCTACTAAATGCAGTCAACCAGACGCAACTTCTACAGGCTGAGAAGCAAAGGGCAGCTCTGAAACCTCAGAATGATGCTGAATTCAGGAGGTCAGTAAATGTACCACTACATAATCATCCAGGGAGCTACCTTCTCTGATCTCTTGTGTTTGAGAAAAATGCTAAATTGCCTTTCCTTATTGGTACTGGTACCAATTTTCATAGGAACTGATAATTTGATGTTCAATTTCTTGCTTAGCTAGTTAAATAAAAACAGGTCTGGGCGCAGTTGCTCAAAGACCAATTAGCGCTTAACCCAGGGTTAAATTCAACTGGGGTTTCGTCTTTTTTTGTTCAAAAGCATCTCCTTGGATAATTTTCTCTGTTATCTTTAAGAGCATCCAATCATCACCTTGTTGACAAAAAGTATTAAAGTGAATTCACTTTTTTAGCTTTCATATCTGAATTCAAATTTCGCACTTACCCTGGGTCACCTTTAACACAGCTTTGAACAACCAGGCCCTGTTAACTGGGTGTTACGAAAACTAAGACCCTCGAATACTAAGACCTAAGACCTTAAGACCCGTCTTAGTTTTCGAGATTACGAAGACTAAGACCCCCTAAAATCCAATCTGTCAAAATATGAAGTCAAATTGTAATCGAAATAGGTCTAATCTGTCAAATTATCTTCTGTCAGATTCTTTCCACAGAGTTTTAGGTCAAATTTAACGGTAAATTTAGGGGTCTTAGTTTTCATAATTTTGAAAACAAAGACCCTTCTTAGTTTTCGTCATTATGAAAACTAAGACCCCCCCAAAAAACCAATCCGTAAAATATATATGACGTCGAATTACGACCGTTCAAAGACTATAATCAGTAAAACAACCAAAAACTATCATCCGTGTGCTGACAATCCGCTTCTTCTAGGATTATTTGGCAGAAAACAGAGGATGAACAGCCATTACCTGTGTATAATTGTACACTGAAAATGTACACTGTCTGCAAATTTCAGAAGAAGCGGATCATCAGCACGCGGATGATAGTTTTTGGTTGTCTTACGGCCTATAGTCTTTGAACGGTCGTAATTTGGCTTCATATATGTATATATATATATATATATATATTATGGATCGGTTTTTAAGGGGTCTTAGTTTTCATGATAACGAAAACTAAGAGAGGTCTTTGTTTTCGAAATTACGAAAACTAAGACCCTTAAATCTACCATTAAACTTCACCGAAAACTCGGTGGAAAGAGTCGGACAGAAGATAATTTGACAGATTAGACCTATTTCGATTACAATTTGACTTCATATTTCGCCGGATTCAATTTTAGGGGGTCTTAGTTTTCCTAATCTCGAAAACAAAGAGGGGTCTTAGGTCTGTATAGGTAGTATATTAATCAGCACCACAGATCTCATTGTAATAAAGTCAGTGTAAATGAGCAGAGCTTTAACCAGAAAAAAAATTATGGCACAAAATAATTATACCAATTTATCAATTTATTATACATTACATTAAATGTAACAAATTTTGTTGTTTTAAAGACTGGCTAATGAGCTAGAGGCTATGAAGGATAATACAATGGAAGGAATTTGTGAAGCACTAACAGATGAACTAAATGAGCTTCAACAGCAGATTCACCTGAAAAACCAGTTTCTCAAACAAAAACAACAGCAGCAGCAGCAAGGCAAAAGAAGAACAATCCAACATGATCAGGTACACTCAGTCTGCACAACATGGGCTGTTTGAATTTTGTAGGGTATTACCTCAAATTCCCTGAGCACATGTATGTTATGAAAGGTTTCCTCCTTCCGTTAAACATAGTTCATGAAAATTAGTTAAGCTTAAGGTGGCAAATATGTGCACTCAGTCTAATATTCATTGTTTGCACATGATCATTTTAATGTCTGAACAACGTTAACTCTTCTACATTTAAACAAATGTTGCAAAAAGTCCCTGTTCCAATTTTGGCTAAGCAAATGGAGTTATGGTTGTCACAAAAAGTTGTCTTTTTGTTTGTTAGTTTCAATCCTGTCTCCAGAGCTTTTGTTACCCTTGACAAGAGGAATGGGCAATGGATGCTCTTGAAGGATTTGAGCCTGCATAGTGGGTATTTAGTTTGAGCAAGAAAATGCAAGGGCAGCTGGGTGAAAGCAGCGAAGCTGTGAGGAGATTGGAGAGGGAATAACAACATGATTTATTACCTGTCTGCTAAATTTGATTTCAAACTACAGCTGTACCTTTGATTTCTGCCATGCCATAGTAAATTATACATTAGTTGCATGAATATGACCATTATCAACAATGTTACTGAGAAGTACTATTAAACAGCAAATACAATCAAGTATCTCGAAGAAGGACACTACTTGTACACTGACACCAAGTGTATATTTTAAGGGCTATCATTGCTAAGGGGATTCGTAATCTGCAACACTGGTCACAGGTGAGCTGACTGAATGTTTTTGGTTATGGTATTACAGATCACACACAGGCCAGGCTTAAAATGCTTTGATAAAGCTGTCCCTTGATGGCAATAAAATAGTAATTATTATTAAGCCTATTTCTTTGATTCTTAGATCCCAAGTTGGACAACTGTACAAGACAAAGGAAGAACTTGGAGGAAACAGCTCAACAAAAAAATGTGCCAAGACTCTGACATGGAATAAATAACTTGCTTTCTACCTTATGTTGTACATGTACTGGTTATTCAGCATATGTTGCCTTGAAGAGTGACCATGGTATATTGTACCTGAAATAAAAAATATGTATTTACAAAATTTGTTTGTTTACATGCTCAATTTGAACTTTTTACTTGTCCCACACCTGACAAAGGAACTATAAATACATATAATATCACCCTACTCTTTCCATATCACTATTTCAGTCTTGGTATCTCCTTTCCATCCATGGATAAACTAGGGACACACAAATCTACCTGTCCTTTCAATATCTTTCTCAAACATTTTTTAGTGACACATATTAACCAGAAAATAATTTTTTGCATTCCTGAGACGCAACAATTCGCTAATATTTTGGCAGAAATTTTGCGTTTACAAGTGTGAGCCTCTCATTATTCAGGGTATTGTGTCCAAGTTTAATATTTTCGTGCACAGCAATAGCTAGTATTTTTGCATATTTCAAATGCACTGTTAGTTACTGCTGTTCACGTGAAAATGAAATTTGGAGACAATGCCTTGAATAATTAGAGGCTTTCACTTGTAATGACGAAACTTCCGATACAAAAGTAACGAATTGTAGCCCTTATTTTACTGCCTTACAATATATCAATAATCTCAAAACTAAAAGGTCATATAAAAGGAAGGTTAATATTAAGAATGTTAAATTTTTAAAAAAATCTATCAAGCGGTTTAAAAATTATTCGCTAATTAGTTAAAGAAGACCAAAATGTTTACAAAACCGCTAACAAGAGCACTTCGATACATACTAATCAAACCCTTCTTTCTAGCAATCGGCTGGAGCTATCTCCCATGATCTTTCATACACGCTTTTAAAAAGATTGAAACTACTATGAGGTGAAATTGCATGTCAAAAGCGCTTCATTTTCTACAGATAACAGCCAAACAACAATATTTTCCATTTTATACTGTGTTTCTAACAATAAAAACTTTATTCCAAAATATCTCGATAACGCTCTTACAGATTTCGCTTAACCTTCACGAACACCAAGGCTGCTATTGGAGGAAGAAGCTCTCGTGAATGATTTTCAAAGAACAGTTTCCAATGCCGAGATATACTGCTGCAAGTAAAATAGGGAATAGCGTCATTTCGTTGCTATGACAACTCCGATGCCATTGCAACCCTGATCATAACAAAATTTCATCTTTATCTAATACAACTGTGGTGTCAATTTTTCCAAAACTTTGTTTATGGCGACGTAGTTTATGCTCAAACTTGGGAGGTGTTGACCCTTAAAAAACTGTATCGAGCCACCTTAAGGCATATTAAAAGGGAAAAAGTCTAACTTCCAACAGCCTGGGTAAAGATGTCTCTTACCTGCTTTGTTGCATGAGGAGGAGGGATGTCTGTGTCATGCTGTCACTAATCATGTTTCAATTTCCTGCTGTGTTCCCCAGATCTTAAGAAAGGGCTGTGTTTGCCCTAGTATGGATATTGTTCAAATAGATTCTAATTGGTTGTGATAAAAAGTGTATCAAAATGTATGTGCTGAGATGGCTTTGTCTCCTTTAAACCCAAAAACTACCTTGGTTAAGGTTTTACTTTCAGTACATGCCCAAACTTTTGCAAAAGTGTTCAACCTATAAATGGTGTTTTCAGCAGTTTTGGCTCCTTATAGCTACAGACTGACCAGAAAATGGCTCAACTAGCTTACAAAGGCATTTTTCAACAAAATTCCTGGTGGTGAATGAGTTAATTAACAATAATTGTTAATTAACTCACTCACCACCCAGAATTTTGTTGAAAAATGCCTTTAATTATTAATTATTAATGAATGAGGCTGAGTATCTTATGAAGAATCATGGAGATCGAGGAGGGTGTTATCTGTCGAGGCCGTAGGCTGAGGTGGATAAACCCCTCCGAGACCAAAACAACTCAACCTCGTTCCCAGGTCTTCTCGGTTCATGGTGCTTTAACCTGCAAGAAAACTGCACTTTCACTGTCATCGGTTCATTTAACGCAAAATTCTTCCAAATTTGGTCATCAGTAGCTGGTTAAGGTGAATTATGCATGTGCTTTTAGCCAATCAGAATCAGGGAAATATTTTGAATGAATAATAAATGAATTTAAAGACAAGCAATATTCATCAATGTACATGTACACATACATGAATTTTATTTTACCTTTTCAATCTGACTCCTCATCACTAATAAAAGTTTCCTCACTGAGTCCCATAGCCTTGCTTCTCTTAACAGCTGCAGCTGCAACAGTTGCAGCAACTGATGACTGAACGTTTGTGAATGGCAAAGGTAGTTGACCTGCTTCTGCTTCAGAGGAATGTTTTTTGTGTAAGCAAAGGTCATCATTCCTGTGTTGAGAATTACATCTTGTCACTTCCATCGACGACTGATCTACCCCTTTGTGTGGCAGGCCAGTGGCATCCGTTTGAAGGGTTACAGGTGCTTTCACAGGTTGGACGTACCCTGCAGTGCTTATTAGTGGATCTTTTGACTTTGTAAACAAAACAGCTTTGAGTTCCTGTAAAAGCTGCTTGTTATCCTTTGCAATGTTCTTTTCCTCTTCAAGATCTTCCACTGACAGAATAGGGTGCCTATAAAAATCTTCCTCATGTGGGTCAGAAAAGGCTTCATAGACTCTATCAACTTCTACAACTTCTTCATTCACATAGCATTCACAATGGCTTGTTGACTTTTCCAAAATAACATTAGGCACTACACTTGAAGTCTCTTTATCAGGTTTTTTGGGTGATTCTTTACCCAACAACTTTTCAAGGTTCTTTTCACCTTCTTCCCAACAGCTTAATGCTGACTCAAGATCTATTTTCAACCAATGAAAAGTTGTTTCAAGATTACTGTAACTTATGTGAGTTGCCTCTGCAGCTTTCGCTTCATTTTCTATTTCACTCTTACTAAGGATCTGTTGTAGACACTGCACTCGTAGTATTCCTGCTTGTAAGTGTAGTTGAAGACTATGAAGTGCAACATCAAGACCTGTCCACTTGGTGTTACTAATTGCATGATGTTTCACTGACTGTTCATTGCTGGTAAAACAACAGCTTTTGTGTAGCTTGTAGCTTCTTTCAAGTGATGTCAGGGACTCTGCTAAGAAACTGGTAGGAATTTCAAACATTATATTCATATTTGTAAAAAGGTTTCTGTACAGTTTAGTCAAGTTTCCACCATTTGCCTCCAAAGACAAACAGAGCAAAAATCTGCTGAGGAACTCTGACTGCACACCAAAAACCAGTGAGGTCATAAGTTTCAAGGTTTGTAATGACAGTTCTTCAGCACAGTAATCAGGCTTAATTTCCTCACATCCTTTAGACAAGTATGTGAATATCCCTGCATACTCTAAACTAAGGGGAAAATTAAAGATCAGCTCTTTTGCTGACCTCCGTAAGCAAGTTGTCGCATTCTCTGCATTCTTTATGATAGCCTTCCTCAATGCTGGATAAACTGATCCTGTCATATTATCACCATCTTCTATGAATGAAGGAATAATCGGGCCCACCATAGTATATCCTCTTGATAAAAGCTCCATTTCTTGAATGAGCTTAACTGATTTTCTCAACAGCAAAGCCAACTGTTTTGTATGTGACATGAATGACTTCAGCTGGCCTATGTTTCTCTGGTGACAAATGCTGAAGTAATATCGACTTGTTGTTTTAATTCCTACAGCGCACAATGTTACCACAGTGACTAAAAATGTAGGAAAGGAGAACTCATTGCCAGTAGCCAGTAAGAAGGAAAAAATAAGCACAAAAAAGGAAAGGAGAGCATGTCTTCTGCTGATTAAAAAAATCATTTCTTTCTGCGGTTCACCAAATGTGCCCAGATTTCCAGGCTTGAAGAGTTCTGGATCAAAATTGGAAAGAAAATTTAAGTCGTCATCATTTAACACTTCAGAATCAACTACGACAGCAATGTAGTGTTTCCTGAAGGCTTCAATATCGTTCCTTGGTGGTGTCAAGACATAACACAATTCCCAAGTGTCCCAAGTCAATACACTTTGCAAAAGACCTTTTACTTTGGTCCAAAGAATAGATAATGTACCTTCATTAAGTTTTTCGTGTCCTTTAAAGCTACTGCCCCTCTCAAAGTCTGTGAAGCCAATTTCGTCGAGATATTTCTGCAAAGGAGAATTCTCCAACACCACCTCATCTTCCGCCATCTTTTCACTACCGGGAAGGAGTGGAGACTAAAAAACAAAGTAGCCAAGCCTTGTACTCCTTCAGATGCCTGATGGTAGGCGGCGCACGAGGGGATAAGTAGGGTCTGACTCCTACCGAGGTGAACTTAACTGGTGATCAGGCGTTTTGTTTCAGTCAAAAACCGAAAATCCAGGAAGAAGGCATCAGATAACAAGACAGTAGTAACTAGAACGGATATCGTAGGGGCAACTCTTGATTACTAAACAACTCCGCCCTGCAAGGTCTGCAAGCATTACTCTAAGCAACGTCTTAAGAACTGGGGAAGTTTAACTTAACATAAAAGGGAATTCATTATATTCACGGACAAAAGGGATGTTTGTGACGAGACAGGGATGAGAAACTTATGAGATGTGCATAACTCGAGCGGGCTGGGATTGTCCTATCACCCGCAGTGCCGGCTCTGTTGGTGCTGCTACTGACGACCTTGGCTCTTTTTTGAATAGACTTTATGTGACTTGTAGCAATTGAAATATACAACAATATTCCAATACTGTCGAACAAACAACTCAAATGATAGTCATGGTCGCACCTCTTCAGTGTAAAGTACTTTTTTATGCTAGAGTCTCCCACAGTTTGAGAGGCAACAGTCCCGAAACAGCTGTATATATACCTATACACTGGAAGCCATATACGGTTTTGTGACGGTTCGCAGCTGAATATAAGGCGAAATAAGCACAAGATCAAAAGTGATTGTTGCTCATGAAAAGCAGAGAAGATGAATTAACGTACCTTGCCCTACCGCCCCGCCATACACATTATTTAGTACTGGTCATTTAAAAACTGGTTGAAGTCGACCAAATAAAAATAGGGTAGAAACAGTTGAAAATTTCTTTAATGATTATAAGCTTGATACAACTTTACAAGTAGGTTTTACACTTTTTACAATGACTAAGCCATTTCTACCACGCTAATTGGTTGAGAGCTTTTGTCCAAGAGAGTTCAGTTTATACAAACGGACGCAACATTGTTGGCCAACAACTCCAATCATTGTTGGATGTTACATGTTGCGTTCGTGAGCACACCCTGTTGCATGTTGTTACGTCTTGTTGGGAGTTTAAAACGAGCCAAACTTTTTGCTACGAGCAAACGGACGCAACAACTCCAAACAATGTTGGGAGTTTATACTGATTGGCCAGCAATGTTGCGTCCGTTTGCTTTATAGCGTTGTTGACTGCGTCAGGACACATATTACATCTTTTTTTAGATCTCAACTCAAACATAAATTAAACTGAGTATTTTTTATATTAAAAAGCTAGTTTTCACTTAGTAATTCATTGTAAGCCTGGTGGTTAGTTTTAAATTAATTGTCAAGGTACAATGGAAATGATGCAGTGACGGCGCAATCTGCCGTAAATTTCAAAGTTATTGCCGATATAGAACAAGTTTTGACAAGTCGCTAGCTTTACTCATTATGTATTATCACATAATTGACACTGGTATGGAAGGCTGCTTGGGACGTGGTCTAGCAGAGTGGTACTGATTTGATGCTGTCCCTGTGTTGTGTTTACCAATCTGCTGCGCCGGGTGCTAAGTAATCCCTTCGTCCAATATTACCAGCCTGTTTGGTTTGCATCGCCTCTAACTTAGGACACTCGGTAATTCTATGACCAAGACCACCACAATATGCACAACCTCGCTCCACTGAAATAATAGAACAAAAGACCACTGTTAAGATGAATCAAACTTGAAGCGATCGTAGTTCAAAGAAGCCGAAGTTCCCCGCTAAGCATGGTCTACACCACACTTGAAAACACACATGACCAATATGAAATGGAAGCAATGTGCACGTGCAGCAGTTCAAAGATTCTAATGAACGGACAGATAAAAATTCAACAGCGGATCCATGAAAGAGCATTGCGGAAGATGCCAAGCCCAAGCCCAGCGGGCGATTCCTTTGCCGAAGAGCATGTTGCTGATCAAGAAGACGTCACTTGTTTTTTTCTGTGCCGCTGCTAGGTACTCGTAAAAAAACGAAGTCCGTAAACATGTCTTTCTGGGTCCAAAACCTTTGAGTTACAGTAACGAAAAAATAAATATGAAACTATAAAAAACTCCTTTCCAGCGCAAAGGCCTCATGGTTGAAGGTTCAGTGGTGGTATTGTACCGTAAAATGGGATTGACAGCTTGTACCTCAAGTAATGTACGTTGTCGACGAGTATGAAGCCAAGTTTTTTACAGAGCGACTTAAGATTTTCAAGTGCACTTGAATCAAGTGCTTACTTGAAACTACCTTAGTGTGAAGCCAACAACTATCCTTTGTGACAATGAAAATGACCAAGCCACCGTTTTCCCCGTCTGGATAACCTAGCAAGAACTGTCTTAGAACAGGAATACAATAGTAAACTTATACGCACCCCCATGGCCAAGGTCCCCCTCATTTTCTGCCTGCAGCACTGCAAGAACTGGAGGTATCTTCTGTTTAGCTTCCAACAGCAAATGCTTGAGATCTAATAGGACTGACTCATCTGGAAATAAAGAATAGATTTCAATCAAAATTTTCTATTAACTACGGCGAGGTAAATGCCTCATTTTGATCTCCTAAAAAAATAATAAAACTTGAAAGCAATTGCCGAAGCCACAATGTTACAAACACACAAAACTCTCTTAAATCTTAAGCTATAGCTGGACTATGATCTGAGCTCTGAAATAGGTAGAAACACTTTTACTTTAGTTCGGCTTTTAATTGTGGCCAGTTGCATGTAAGTAAGTACTCGTCAAGCAGACAGCAAAATGTGAGAGGATACTATATTTTCTAACCAAGACAGTAAACTCCTGGCATCAATACGCACCACAAGATTTGTTGATAAATGTCGTGGCAACTCCAGTCTTTCCACAGCGACCGGTGCGACCAATCCTATGAACTAAACATGAAAATAACAACAACAACAACATGAATGCGCAGCACTCAAATTGACACAAAAGTATTTTATGGGTAAAAAGAAAGTGAAAATAAACAATGGCCAGGAACAACTTAAAAAATAACTCGTTCTGTACCATAGTTTTCAATATCTTCAGGCATGTCGAAGTTAATAACATGTTGAATGTCCGGAAAATCAAGGCCTTTAGATGCTACATCAGTTGCTACCATGACATCTTTCTTCCCTTCTCTGAAGCTTCTCATTGCATACTCTCTTTCTTCCTGATCTACAAAAAAAGCCTCAAAAATGTTTTACAACACTCTTATAGGCACTGAGCAATCTCAAAGTGGTTATAGCTAAAGGTCCGGAAAAACGGGCAACAAAAGAAGTGCAACTTGTTTCTTAACATTGCTGCAAAACAATTTGAATAGCGATGTTGCACGTTTTACCACCCACATCAAACTTGTCCTGCAACAAATCAGCTTGTTAACAGGTTTAAACGTGGGTGGTAAAACGCGCAACATCGTTATTCAACTCGTTTTGCAGCAATGTTGCAAAACAAGTTGCAAGCCGTTTTTTTTTGCCCGTTTTTCCGTACTTTAATATGAATGTGATGTGCAGCACTGATTAATTAGTAATTAAAGAATGGAACTCGTTGCCTAGCAATGTTCTGGATATAGTAAAACCCCTATTTTTTTTCAGAAAGCACTTACTTCAGTAACTATCAGACGTTTACTGTATTCACATTAATAGCTATAGCATCATGTATATAATTATAATCATTAGATTTTTTATTCCCCCTTTTTTGTTACGTTTTGCAGAGATTGTTATCCCCAGTAGCAGGACTCCCTGTAATGAAAATGTAGAACAACATGTAACCTCATCTGCGTGTTCTACAGATGACTCAATGATCTCGATCAAGTGAGTAACTCATGAGTCGCAAGTAAAGATAGCCAGCCCCCAAAAATCCCACTTCAAAGTGATTTTAAACCACTGCTGTGCCGTAGAACTACGCAGCAGCAGTAGCGTTACTTACTTACCCACTTATGGACCCAGGGTACCCGGCAATGATTGACTAGAGATAATCGTACATGAAATAAAAAAAAATTTGGTTCTTACGTGCGTAAATCGAGTTGTAGATGCCCTAGGCAAGTTTGGCGGGAGAGCACGAGGGGCAGCGGAAGGCCCTTTCATAAGTACACTGTAATCGTATCTTGTGAAAAATCTTGCGAAATATTCCATCTTACGTGAAAATGAAATGATCAGCAAGCGTTGGACAAAGAAAAAATCTGAGTCTCCGACAGGATTCGAACCTNTATAGTAAAACCCCTATTTTTTTTCAGAAAGCACTTACTTCAGTAACTATCAGACGTTTACTGTATTCACATTAATAGCTATAGCATCATGTATATAATTATAATCATTAGATTTTTTATTCCCCCTTTTTTGTTACGTTTTGCAGAGATTGTTATCCCCAGTAGCAGGACTCCCTGTAATGAAAATGTAGAACAACATGTAACCTCATCTGCGTGTTCTACAGATGACTCAATGATCTCGATCAAGTGAGTAACTCATGAGTCGCAAGTAAAGATAGCCAGCCCCCAAAAATCCCACTTCAAAGTGATTTTAAACCACTGCTGTGCCGTAGAACTACGCAGCAGCAGTAGCGTTACTTACTTACCCAGTTATGGACCCAGGGTACCCGGCAATGATTGACTAGAGATAATCGTACATGAAATAAAAAAAAATTTGGTTCTTACGTGCGTAAATCGAGTTGTAGATGCCCTAGGCAAGTTTGGCGGGAGAGCACGAGGGGCAGCGGAAGGCCCTTTCATAAGTACACTGTAATCGTATCTTGTGAAAAATCTTGCGAAATATTCCATCTTACGTGAAAATGAAATGATCAGCAAGCGTTGGACAAAGAAAAAATCTGAGTCTCCGACAGGATTCGAACCTATGACCTCCCAAACACCAGGCGGGCGCTCTATCCACTTGAGCTACGGAGAACTCATGGAGAGCGAGGCCATAAACTATCTTATTTTGCAAATTGGTCTCTTACAGGTATCTGAGGAAAACGGTCTCTGAAAACGCACATTTTTCAA